AAAAAAAAAAAAAAAAAACGGGCCAAACAGCGAGGCTTCACATCCCAGCGTCACTCTTGCTTTAAGGGTGGAATTAGATGATATTTTCTCTGACGCTAGAGGAATATGTTCTCCATTTTGGTACTATTTATTCTCAATGGAACACCTACACCACGGTCATTTTCCCATCCTGTTCTTAAGCCTAACCATGAGCAGAAGCCCAAACGAAGCCCTGTGTGATGTGTGCCGGGCACCGTGGTGTAAATGCTCCCACCATGGCCTTTTTGTGACAGACATGAGGTGGTCGAGTGTGATTTGAGAGGCGTGGGCCGTACCACCTCCTGGCGTGGCTCCCCTGTCACCCAGAAGCCCACCCCGATAAGCCAAGGTCAAGGTCATGAAATAATGAGGACGTGCTGAGTTCTGAGTACCAATGGCCTTTGTTTTGAATAGGATTTACTTAGTTGTAAGTGTATGAGAGTTAAGGTCTAACAGTGACCGTCTCACAGCTGGCTCACAGACTCCCCGGGCCGGTACGAGTCCTCCCCAGCCCCCACGACTGGCCTCTTACGTCCCTGGTCACAGCTCAGCCTGCTCTCTCCTCCTGGGGGAGGTCGACCCTTGGTCACCCTCTGCCCTGGCATCCCGCCTGCAGCGTGGGTCCCGGTGTGAACGCTTCTCTCTGGTGTAGCTTCTTTGGTTGTAACGCGCAGCATGAAGCCTGGTTGGAGGCTTCTAGGGGCCGAGGGAGGAGCAGAGTGACATCTTCTGTAAAGGGTCAACTCTGGGTCCCCGCAGTCACGGCAGCCCCCTTGAAGATGACTCTGATTCAGCCCTGACTTGATGTCTCAAAGAATGAACAAGGAGCCTGTTAAATGCAGATTCCTGGCCTCACACCTGGTCATGAGGAGTCCAGGGGGAGGGTGACTTCCGGAAGCCAGCCCGTGGCTCCACCAGCACTGGGCCAGTCCCCCGCCAGGACCCGAGAGCTCAGGCTTAGAGCCACTCCTGAGAGCCTGGTGCCTGCCGCGGGGGATTCTGAGGCAGGCCTGGGGACTCACTGAATCACAGGAAGCCACAGGAGGGGTTGTGGGGTCCCCGACCTTTGCCGCTGGAGTCCGTGTCTGCCCTCATGGGCTTGAGTGCCAGGGCTGAACCAGACCTGGCTGCCTAGAGGCCTTGGCTTGCTCTTGGAGACCGGTGGTCAGCACCCATGAAAGGACAGACAGCTACCACTTACGGGGGAAGGTCCTGCAACCCTGCAAGGCCACAGTATCCTTTCCATCATGTGTGAAGAAGCTCGCAGCCAGGTGTGGTGGCTCATGCCTGTAAGCCCAGCACTTTGAGAGGCCGAGATGAGAGGATTACCTGAGCTCAGGGGTTTGAGACCAACCTGAGCAACATGGCAAGACCTCGTCTCTGCGATAAACCAAAACATCAGCCGGGCATGGTGGCGCTTGGCTGTGGTTCCAGCTACTTGGAAGGCTGAGGCGGAAGGATCGCCTGAGCCCAGCAGGTGGAGGCTGCGGTGGCCGGGAGTGTGCCACTGCACTCTAGCCTGGGTGAGAGTGAGACTCTGACTCAAAAAAAAAAAAAAACTTGCAGCTCATGTCAAGCAGTGGCTCTGAGGACCACACCGTGACGGGCTGTGGAAACCACATGGAGCCCAGGGCTGTTGCCTTAGTCTGTTGAACTTGAAAGACGGGCTTTTCAAACTGCAGGCCAATCTGTTCACGAGTCTGCACCAGAAGATTGTTTAAACTTTCTCAGGAACATTCTCAAAAGTACATGAAAGTAGAGAGAACGCCAACCAGCACTTTTTAAGGTGAAATATAACCAGACAGATCATCATGTGCCTCTCGCGTGGTAAGAGTTCGTGGCAGGTCACACCGCTCCTGTTTCTGTGAAACGCGCTGGTGTCTGCGGGTGCGTCAGGGCTCGGCGAAAGGCGCATTGCTTCCTGTGGGTCCTGGCCAGAGGGGACAGAAATTTGATTTCAGAAGTTCTTTTAACGGATGAGAAGTTGGCTTAGTGACCTCTAAAACTGTGGAAGGAAACTTACAATCGACTCAGCCGTGGTGAAATTTGTCATGTGGGTCATTGCTGTTCCCCCTTTCCTGGATATTTTTGTCAGAGGAACAGTTGAGTGGGCCATTTGAGTCTACACCGGGTTTGGGTTGTTGCTCAGAGACCATGGTCATCTTCTGGCATCGTTGAATACAGAATGACGCTCTCATCAAGGGAAACTCAGGCCTGGTGTTCCCGTCAAGGCCCACCCCCCAGACAAGGCCCACCTCCTAGACAAGGCCCGCCCCCCCATACAAAGCCCATCCCCTGAGAAGGCCCGCCCTCTGGGCAAGGCCCACTCCCCCAGAACAAGGCCCACCCCCAGACAAGGACCATCTCCCAGACAGGGCCCAGCCCCAGGACAAGGCCCACCTCCTAAACAAGGCCTACTCCCCCAGACAAGACCCACCCCTCCCAGATAAGGCCCACCTCCTAGACAAGGCCTAATCCCCCAGACAAGGTCTGCCCCCCAAACAAGGTCTGCTCCCCATAGCAAGGCCCACTCCCCCAGACAAGACCCGCCCCCCAGGTAAAGCCCACCCCTCACTTGCTGGAATCACTGGGCCAGTTTTCTGCACAGCAACACTCCCTCAACAGCTGTGTTTTCTTCTGAAGCTCAGCCCGTGGGCCTGTGCGCCCAACAGGTGGGTCTGAGACCACCTGCCTCAGGATTTCCTGGGAGCAAAGTGGGGCTCCAAGTGCCCACCCCGGCCTGCTGCTCGGACCCCTGGGTGGGGCCCGGAAGCCCATGTTTGCACACCTCCCAGATGTCTGAGCTGTCAGCGCTGGAGGAACACTTGCCTTCCGTGGGCTTGGTGTGGGGCACGGATCCCAAAGTCAGGGCGCCCGGCCAGGGGCACCCCAAGGCTCGCCCAGATACCCGGCAACCTGTCGGAGCTGTGGGTGCTTATTCATTTAACTGTTCATACTTTATTTTTGGAACCCTGGGATTGACGAAAACCAACCCACGTGACTGAAGCCTCCGTGGGCCCCTTTATGCCCTTTGTGAGCCACGCTGGATAGCACCCACCTCCTCAGCCAGCTCCCGATGGCCAGTTATTCTGTGTGAGGCCGGACGTTGGCGCCCCAGCACCCGGCCCCCGGCCTCCCCTGCCCTGCAGAGCCGGAAGTGGTGCTCCCAGGACACGGCCCTTCTCCCGAGGAAGGAAGCCTTGGGTGTGGTGACCGTGGGTTTTCCTTGTCCCTCACTCCAGCGCAGAGCCACTGACCAGCCGGGGAACCGGGGACAGGACTTTTCCAGCCAGGTGGGAGGCAGGGCCTTCTGTCCCCTCGTAGACCAGGTGTTGGATGGGGCCGAACGCCAACACTGGGGGCAGGTGGAGGGTGGGAGTCTCCACGGGCACGGGGAGGGGTGACCGTACTCCTGGCGGACCGTCTGCCTGCTGACCAGAGATGCTTCCCTCCCCTCCCCTATCTCGTTGCAGGACACAACGGGCTGGTGGCCGTGAGTACCTCCCCCCAGGTCCCGCTTTGATGTGCAGGGCGTGTGGCTCTCGGCGGTCCAGGGAGGACATGAGGAAGCAGGGGAGGGGAGACCGCAGAAAGGAGGAGCAGGCACCCAGGCCGCGCTCTCTGGTGACGACGGGCCGTGAAGGGGGACACCACGGGCTCTTCTCCCCTTTCCTTGATGTGGGAGGATGGACCACCATGGCCGGGGGGGGTCAGGGAGCTTCCAGAAGCGGCTGACCGTGGGGGACACTTGTGACGGGCACAGCTTGAGAGCAGGGAGAAGCAGGGGTGAGGGACCTGGCTAGGCAGGCCCTGACTCTAGACCCCAGCCAGTCCCGGCAAATAGAGCCTGGGTCCTGGCTAGGTCCGGGCCACGCACCAACCTGAGGACACGGGCCCTCATGTCCTCATGTGCCCAGTCCAGAGGGAGGCCAACGCCTGTCCCCAACACAGCTGGTTCAGGATCCCAAGCTGAGCTCCCAGGTACCCTCATGTTGGGCTCCTCGAACCGGAGTCCAGGTCCCTCTGGGAGGCCACAGAGAGTGCTCAAGCCACAAAATGAGCAGGGAACATCTGGAAGCAGTGGCAGCTCTGGAATACCAAGGGTTGGAGAGGCTTGGGGCAACCATGGTGATGCCAAGGGACTGACCTTGAACCTCACACTTCACCTGATCCGTCCATGTTACTTGAGCCCTTATGGAGGCCTCTTGTAGCTCAACCCATTGGTCATTTGCAACATTGATTATATATGAATATGAACACGAGTTCATCTTCCAGCTCCGCCACTGTTGATCGGTGAGGGTTGGGGGGACGTCCCTTGGCCTCTCTGGGACACAGTATCATGACGACCATGGCGTCCCCCTCCAGAGGGGCCATGGAGGTGGTAGGTCAAGGTGTGGCTCTTCCTATGGACCCTTCTGGCCCAGGGAAGGCAGGCGAGGGTCAACGCCCTTCGACACAAGATGGCGGAAACACACCTGTCATCAGTCTGGTTGGGTTTCTTCTCCATTGTGGTGAGAGAGACCCTGGGGTGCCACAGGTGTTGGGAGGCTTTGAGCTTTGGATGATGGTGTAAGGGCAGGTCTAAGAAGATCGAGGATTCGGCCCTGTCAGAAAGCAATGACAGGCCGGGCGCGGTGGCTCACGCCTGTCATCCCAACACTTTGGGAGGCCGAGGCGGGAGGATTGCATGAGCCCAAGAGTTCAAGGCAACATAGTGAGACCTTGTCTCCATGAAAAATCAAAAAATTAGCCAGGTGTGGTGGCGCACATCTGTAGTCCCAGCTACTCAGGTGGTTGAAGTCGGAGGGATTGCCTGAACCCAGGAGGTCACGGGTGAGGTGAGCCGTGAGCCTGTCCCTGCACTCCAGCCTGAGTGACAGAGTGAGACCCTCAATTAAAATAAAAAAAAACAAAGTGGGTGAAACCCTGTAACACGCGTCTCAAGGAACCTCGAGAGGGTGGGGCATGTGTGTGGAGTGCAGTCATTGGTGAGAAGCAGGCACACTTTGCCCGAGAGAGGGGTGTGGGCATTTTGTGGGCAACCCAGAGACCTCATGCATGTCTGTGCTCAGGCAAGCGTGTGCCTCTCCGTCTGGCTTTGCTGGTCTCAGTGCCGCCTGGTGGAGGCTGTCCTTCCACGGGACGGCCGGCGTCTAGCAGGACACACCGTGCCTCGCCGTGTGTGCCAGGCTGGTTCTCCAACCCAGAGTGGCGCTCCCCTCTCTCTCAGGAGGGTGTGTTGGGGGCTTGATCCTGGTTTTCCATGGCAGGTGGCAGTTCCCAGCACGTCTGCCCAGCCTGAGGCTAGCTGTTAGCCCCTCTGCACCTTGGTTTTCTCATCTGTGCAGTGAGAGAATCCAGGGCCCGCCTCCAGGTGGGTAGGGAGGGTTACACGTGGTGACATGCTCACTGTGTCTGGACAGGACACGTGCCAAGCAAGCCCTTAAAACCTGAGTTTTGAATGCTGCCACCCCTGTCTCCGCAGGGGTGGAGGAACCCACATTTTGGATCTGGGGATGGGCGATCTGCTTGGTTCAACAAATATGTATTGACTTTCCACTAAGTGCTCAAGAAAAATTAATAGAAATCCTTGCAGCATTTGTTACCCCATAAAGTTCTGCTGTAAACGGCTTGATTTATTGAGTGTGTCCTCTGCACGGGGACCAGTTTAAGCCCCGTTGAGGGACCGGCTTTGTTCACCCTCATGACAGCCCCATCTCATGGGTCAGGTCGGGACTGCTTTCATCGGCCCGTCTCTGCATGTGAGGAAACAGGCCAGGCAGACCCGGTGCTGAGGGCGGGAGCCGAGTGTTCTCCGAGTCCATGAGTCCAGCCCCACTGAGCTGCCCCTGCTGGGACTGTAGGCGTGGTGGTGCTGTTCCCCGCTGGACAGGGCATCCCAGACAGGGTGGCAGGTGCCGTAGAGTCTCCCAAGGCCCCAGGCCTCCAAGGAGGTCACCTTTACCTGGGCAGTGGGGGCAGGGGCAGGCGTGTCAGGCCTCTGAGCCCCCTGGGGAAGGCGGGGAGCGGATGGGAAACGGAGGGCATGGATTCCCAGAGTTGAGTAGAGGGTGCCCCGGCCCTGCAGTGAGGACCCCCAACCTGCAGGCCAGCCCCAAGGGAGCCCCACGTTCTGGGACGAAGGGAGGGTGCCCTGTGCCCCCAGGCGGCGTACCTGCAGAGGCTGGGCGTGAACACGGCCGTCTTCGAGAGGCGCCATGTGATCGGGGGCGCAGCCATCACCGAGGAGATCATCCCAGGTGAGCCCCGAGGCGGGGGACAGGAGGTGGAGACAGTGACCCCTGGTAACTGTCTTCGTCTGACTCGGTTTCAGGGTTCAAGTTCTCCCGAGCGTCCTATCTCCTCAGCCTGCTGAGGCCGCAGATCTACACCGACCTGGAGCTCCAGGTAGAGCCGTGTGGCCTGGTGGGGGGGGGGGGGCACGGGGACAGCAGTTCCATCACCCCAACCTGGGGCACAGACTCCCGAGAGGCCCCCGTCCCTGAGAGTTTGTGTCTGCCATGTGGTCTCCCACTCATTCCTGCACGCAGGGTTTGCCTAGTCCCCCAGCATCTTGGAAATTGGGAAATTTCACACGCAAATCAGACCTCTTTTGAAGCACGGGCTTTGTCCCCCCCAGCCCACATAGGACACTGGTCTTGAGGCGTGAGCCTAATTTCTGCCCTCCCTGAACCTCAGAGCCTGCTGGTCTCTCTGCGTCCAAGCAGAAGGCTGACCCAGGACGTTCGCCTCTTCAGGCTCCCAGATGGCCCGGGGAGTCCTGGTCTCATCCACTTTGTTTTTGGCTCTCCATCCTTTGTCCGTGGGCTCGCCCAGCCCTCCCCACCTTCCACATCCCCCCTTCTACCCCCATGCCGTTTATAAACCCAGGCACCACCTTCCCACAGCTGGCTTGGCTTCCACTGCTCATGCCCCTGTCACCCGCCACCCAGAGCAAAGGGTCCTTGGTGTCCCCGGCCCAAACAGCTGCCTTACCTGTCAGCACCAAGCCCACTCTAATTCAGAGTCTGAAACTAGCAAGGCATGTGGCCACAGCTCACCGCTCTAGGCTACTCTCTCTGGTTCCCAGGGAGGGCTTCTTGGAGCTCCTGGGAGAGCGCGGGGGCACCCAATACCAGACGGAATGAAATCCCTCCCAACCCTGGGGTGGGTTGCTGGCAATTTGTAAATGCACCAGTTGTTCATAATGCAGAAGTTGGGGGGTTGGGGAGGACCCTTCTTTTGACAAACCCAACTTATGAAAACCAAGAATGACAGGACAGAGATTTTCACTGGATTATCCTCTTTATTTTTTATTTTTTAAATTTTTTGAGTTGGGTTCTCCCTCTGTCGCCCAGGCTGGAGTGCAGTGGCACACTCATGGCCACCGCTGCCTCAGCCTGATGGGCTCCGGCGATCCTTCCGCCTCAGCCTTCCAAGTAGCTGGAACTACAGGCATGAGCCACCACCATGCCCGGCTAATTCTGGGATTTATTATAGAGATGAGGTCTCACCAAGTTGCCCAGGCTGGTCTCAAACCCCTGGTCTCAGGCAATCTTCCCGCCTCGGTCTCCCAAAGTGCTTGGATTACAGGCTTGAGCCACCACGTCCGACCGGATTATCCTCTTTATTTAAAAAAGGTTACTCGTTTGAAAATGGCACTTGGCATAGTGGTCCTTCAACCAGCCGCTCGGGGTAGACTGGGTGTATGATGTAGCCTCTGACTCGGTCTGTGGGCTGCCTTAAAAGGAGTTTGGCACCCAAGTCAGGGAAGCGAGTAGCCCCGCTGGTGACGTGCAGGGCTGTCCCGCTGGAGAGGGGCACTGGTTTTCACAGGACATTGGCGACCCGGAGGGCACCCGCCTGGGGACAGCTGAGCTCCTTGCAGGAATATTGTTTCCACCACAACAGTGAAGCGCATTTATTTTACCGGTGTCACAACTTGAGCTATGAGCTTTCATGCTCTGTGATCCTCACCTGTGAGACAAGATCCCCTTTAACCATCGGGGAGCTGGGGGTGAAGTTCACACAGCTGGAAAATGATGGGAAATTGGAGCCACGCGCTGGCGGACTCCCACGCGGTTCTCTCACTGCAAGGCGCTGCCACGGGCCTCCTGGTGGTGCTCAGACCCACGCACCTCCAGCCCCCGCAGTTGGCAGCGGACGTGGCCATGGTCACAGACGGAGCTCCCCAGGGCTCGGCCTGGGCACCATGGAGGATGAGGACACAGCCCGGAGGCGGCTGGCGTGACGCCATCGGCGCGGTGCCGGCTGTGATGATCCTCCCACTTGGCCGTTGAGGAAATCGAGGCTCCAGAGTGACTCTCGTGGCTGATGACAGCATACCCACCCTGCCACTTAAGGGGTCACTTCCAAATGGCCTGGGTCCTCCGCTTCTTCTCCTAAAGCCAGAGCATCCCCTGCCCACGGAATCTTAGTTTCTGCAGCTGTCGATGCCGGGACTGGGTTGTGTGGCCTCCGGCGCCGTCGCAAGAGTTGGGTTGGGGGGCGTCTTTCCGTCCTCAACAGCCAGCAGGCCTCTCCCCCATTTGCCTCCGGGCGAGCCATGACCTCAGCGCCAGAGGCAGCCGCTGCGCTCCAACCCTGCCCTGAGAACTACCTGGGACACTGGTGGGGAAGAGATTTCCCGGAGATTCTTGCTCAGAGGCCTGATTCTGTAGGCATGGTGGGGCCCAGAACCGTCATCTCTACAGGATTCTCCAACCTTTCTGAAACCGAGACACCCAGGGCCCGACTTTGAGAGAACCTTACCCTTTAATCTCCCGTATCTCTGGCCCCTCAGACACACCTTGTCTCTTTCTAGCAACTTCATCCGGGATGAGTGTGTGTGCTGAGAAATCCCGGGGTAAATAAAACAAAGATTTTGCTTTTTAAAATATTTTTATAGAGACGGGGATCTTGCTCTGTTGCCCAGGCCAGACTCAAACTCCTGGCCTCAAGTGATCCTCCCACCTCGACCCTCCAAAGTGCTGGAATTACAGGTGACCTGCTTTGATTTTTTTTAAGAAAAGAACTACGTGACTTGGACAGCTCTCATGATCCCACGGCTACCTGACCTTCCCCTTCTTATTCTGACTCCACGTAATTTATACCATCAAGAGTGACAAAGCCTCCATTTGTAGGAGAAAGTCCTGGAATCAAATGAAAAATTATTTATGTTCAATGAATTGTACTTGAAATAATTTTCGAGTTCCTCTTGGGTCCCTTTTTTGAGGGTTTACTGTTTCATTCATTAATTCATTTATTCAGTAAATGCCTGCACACCTGCTCCATGTCAGGCAGGAGCAGAGCCCTTGGGGACACAACCGTGACCCAGGAAGGCCAGGACCTCGCTCTCGGGCAGAGAATTCCAGGTGGAGGTCAGTGCCCAGCGGAAGAAAAAGAGGCAATGTTAGAGAGAGAGATTGGACTCTCCAGCCTCGATGGTGACCAGGACACCCTCCTTTGGGGGCGACATTTGAGCGTTCAAATGCCAAGAAGTCACCAGGTGTGGGGACCTCTGAGCAGAATGTCCAGTCAGGGTTAAGTGGACAGGCCGGGGGGGTGAGAGCAGAAGGCAGGTCAGGGTGACCAGGGTGGACAAACGACGGGCAGAGGGGCCACAGTGGGCGAGGGCAGGGGCCGGCTTGGACAGGGCCATGCAGGTCACTGAGGAAGGACTGCCCTTATCCCAGGTGCAGCGGGCAGCCAGCAAGGTGTGAATCAGGAAGTGGGGTGCTGGGTCCATGACTCTGCAAAAGCTCAGCGCACCTGCTGGCCGTGGAAGCAGGAGGGGTTGTGGGTGGACCGATGAGGCAGCTGCCGCGTGGCTCCCTGGATGGTGGCCTGGGGAGATGTGGGTGGCTCCTACACACGGAGCTGACAGGATGTGGCAGTGGCTGGGACGCCAAGGGTGAGGAGCGGGAGAAACGAAGACCACCCCTGGGAGGGAGCGTCCACTGCACAAAGAGAAACTGACTCAGAAGTCTCTACCACGGAGAATCACAAAAACGCCTCCAACTCAGGGCTGAGAAGGACCCGGAGCTCTCCCGGCCTGAGCCTCGACTCGTGATTGGAATCGACTCCACGGAACGCCCAGGACCAGGACCAGGACCAGGCAGCCCGGCTGGACACCTCCAGTGGGGCAGCGCCCGCTAGACCTGTTCAAAAGGCCTCAGGGGCCCTCTCGCACTTTCCTGCAGCTTCTCACAGATCCAGCTCCTATCCTCTGGATTCCCTGCCTGCACCACAGCATTCACTGATGCCGTCGACAGGGGATATAGGGACTGATTCTAGACATATCTGCATGCAGGAGACAGCAGTGAGCATGTGGACAGCGCCCTGGCCTCACAGAGCTTGTTCCTCCCGGGGAAGACGAGGAAAAGCTAAGTGTGTTCTGAGCACGTGGTGACGAGTGCTTTGCAGAAAAATAAAGCCAGGTGAGGGACAGGTGGTCGTGGACAGCCTGGCCTGGTAGGCAGCCTTCAAACTGAGACCCCCATGTCTGGAGGGAGCAGTCACGGGTCTGAAAAAGGAAGAAGCTTCTAGACACCATGGCAGCAGCAAATCTTGGTGGAGGTAGAGAAGGCCCCCTTTGAAGAAGGAAGGTTCTCTGTGCTAGTCAAATATTTGTAAATCAAATCATATTTTAAGTGCATCAAGGGAACTTCCGTTTAAAGTGACCCTGGAGTAAATGAGTCTGCAAAGTAAATAACATTTCCACGGTGAATAATTTATCCCCTGTTGTAAGTATGGATTTTCACATAACCGGGGCTGTAGTGGCTGTCTAAATGTTCGTTGTTTCTGAAATGGGGCAGTAATGGGCTGGTGCCGGGGTGTCAGCGTCACAGAGATATGGTTTTTTGGGTTTTTTTTGTTTTTTTTTTTAGTTGGAGTCTCACTCTGCAGCCCAGACTGGAGGGCAACGGCCGCTCCCGGCCACCACAGCCTTGACCTGCTGGGCTCCAGCGATCCTTCCGCCTCAGCCTTCCAAGTAGCCGGAACTACAGGCGCGTGCTACCACACCCAGCTAATTTTTTGGATGTATTGTAGAGATGAGGTCTCGCCAAGTTGCCCAGGCGGGTCTCGAACCCGCGGGCTCAGGCAAGTGATGTGGTTTTGAAACCCAGATCCACCCCTCGCAGGGACCCAGAACATGCTGTTTAACTCCCCTGAGCCTCAGTGGCACTTGTACGATGGGGACAAAAACGGTCACAGACCTCACGGCCGTGTCTCGGTCAACAGCGGACTGTGTGTGCGACGGCAGTCCTGTGAGATTATGACAGAGCTGGAGGTCTCCTGTGGCCCACGACCCATTGCTCACTCGTGCATGGTGCTGCTGGGGTACGCAAACCTCTAGTCCTGTATAAAAGGCTCGTGCATACTGTAATGTGCAGCATAGAATACCTGATCATGGTCATAAGTGACCTTGTTTCTGGTTTATGCATTTACCGTGCTATACTTGCTATCTTCATTTTAGCAGGTACTTCTCCTTACTTAAAAAAAGTTAAGTATAAACCAGCCTCGGGCAGTTGCTTTAGGAATGTTCCAGAAGGCATGGCTGTCATAGGAGGTGACCGCTTCACGCGTGTTTCTGCCCCTGGAAACCTCCCAGGGCGACAAGACGTGGAGATGGAAGACGGTGACATTGATGATCCCCACCCGGTGTGGGCCTAGGCCGATGGGGGCGTGTGTGTCTTTGTTTTTAACAATAAAGGCTAAAAAATTTTTTAAAAATGTGAAAATAGAAAAAGGTTTCTAGACTATGGATTTAAAGGTTTGGGAGGCCGAGGTGGGAGGATTGCTTGAGGCCAGGAGTTCGAGACTCGCATCGTGAGACCTTGTCTCTACAGAAAAATTTTTAAAATTAGCTGGGTGGCCAGGCTCGGTGGCTCAGCCTGTAATCCCGCGCCTTTGGGAGGCTGAGGTGAGTGGATTGCCTGAGCCCGCGGGTTCGAGACCCGCCTGGGCAGCGAGACCTCATCTCTACAATAAATCAAAAAATCAGCCGGGCGTGGTAGCGCATGCCTGTAATTCGGCTACTCGGAAGGCTGAGGTGGAAGGATCGCCGGAGCCCAGCGGGTCGAGGCTGCGGTGACTGGGAGTGGCCACTGCACTCCAGTCTGGGCAACCGAGTGAGACTCCAACTTAAAAAAAAAAAAAAAAAAATTAGCTAGGCTGTTTCTTTCGCCCATGCCAGCTCTGGCATGTCTCCGTTTGTTTCCTCCCTTCTTTCTCTAATAAACTTTGAAAACTTAAGAGAGGAAATCAACTGGACGGAGTAACACGCACCTCGGGTCTCAACTACTCAGGAGGCTGAGGCAGGAGGCTTGAGCCCAGGAGTTGGAGACCGCAGTCAGCCATGGCACGGTGGGGTCTACCCTAGGGCTCCCAGTCAAGAGGGCTTGCACTAAGAGCAGGAAGCAGGACCCTGGACCTTGGGGCCTGTGCACAGGTACCCCCAGGGTCACACTGACAGCTGGAGAAGATGGAAGGCAGAGGCCGCGGGTCCCTCCCCCTGCCTTTCCCTCTCTGTATTCTGCAGAGACACGGGCTGAGGCTTCATCTCCGAAACCCACACTCCTTCACCCCCATGCTGGAAGCCAGCGCAGGGAGCAAGGTGCCCAGGTCCCTTCTGCTGGGCACAGACATGGCGGAAAACCAGAACCAGATCGCCCAGTTCTCACGGAAGGATGCCCAGGTAGGCGACCCGAGGCTGTCCCTGCCCCCTCACCAGCCGGGAGACGGCCCGGTTGGCTCGTCCCGGAACACACCGTGCAGAGGCCAAGGGCGCTTGGACAGGCCGCCCCACCTCCCTAGGAGGGTGCCAGCCTGTACCAGCCGTGGCCTCACGCGCTGGGAAGAGAAGGGTGGAGGGGGTGGACAGGGGAGGCCCTCACATCCGTGTGTGTGCGGCATGAGAAACAGAACCTGCTGGAACTCACATATCAGGGTGTGCTTCCCTCCTGCTCTCAGACAGTTCCAGAAGGCCACCCCTATCAAAGCACAGTCCAGCCCAGGTGTGGTGGCTCACGCCTGCAATCTCAGCACTTTGGGAGGCCGAGGTGGGAGGATCACCTGAGGCCAGGAGTTCAAGACCCGCTTGGGCAACATAGCAACATGGCAAGACTCCATCTCTACAAAAAGTCAAAAAATTAGCCAGCCATGGTGGCGTGCACCTGTAGTCCCATCTACTCAGGAGGCTGAGACGAGAGGATCCCTGAGCCCAAGAGGTGGAGGCCACGGTGAACCGTGATGGTGCCACGGCACTCCAGCCTGGGCGACAGTGAGAATCCAACTCAAAAAAACAAAACCAACAAGCAAAAAGGCGAGCCACAACGGCAGACGAGGGAAGATCAGAGACAATTAAGGACAGGATGGACTGGATCGGGATCTCAGGGCGAGAGGGCTGTCGTCAGTATTCATTCAATTTGGCACCGAGGCACCATCCTGGTAGCCCAAGGCAAGAAGGCGTCCCTGGTGGCGGGCAGGTCTAGTGAATGGAAGAGCGCCCACTCTTTTTCCTGGGATCGTGTTCTAGGAACTTTGGGTCATGAGTCCCCGAGTGACGTCCTGGGCCTGGAGCAGCTGGTTCTGCAGATGGAGAAAGGTTCTTGGAAAGGCTGTTTCTGTGTCGAGCCTGGATACAGCTGAAGTGCAGCATTAAGCTGTGCCTTGGTAAGCCGGCTACGGTGGCTCATACCTATAATCCCAGCACTTTGGGAGGCCGAGGCAGGAGGATTGCTTGAACTCAGGAGCTCAAAACCAGCCTGGGCAACATAGCAAGACCCCATCTCTACAAAAGTAAATAAATAGATATATTTTTTGAGTTGGAGTCTCACTCTATCACCCAGGCTGGACTGCAGTGGCACGTTCATGACCACCGCAGCCTTGACCTTTGGGGCTCAGATGATCCTTCCGCCTCAGCCTTCCAAGTAGCTGGAACCACAGGCGAGTGCCACCATACCCGGCTAATTTTTTTATTTATTGTAGCGACAAGGTCTCGCCATGTTGCCCAGGCTGGTCTCAAACCCCTGGACTCAGGCCTCTCGCCTCAGCCTCCCAAAGTGCTGGGGTGACAGACGTGAGCCACATGCCCAGCAAGATGCAAATTTTTAAAAAGAAGTAAATCCTATCTCGGTGGAGACATTTTTACAAGCATCTAGGTTGTTGCAGTCTATGTTCCTTGCTTTTGTTGTGTTTGTGGCCAGTGTCATGCTGGGTGAAGCTGAGAGGACCCCAAACATACAACCCATACCTTTAGCCAATGGTGTGCAATCTAGGCCGATGAGCAGAATCACCTGGAGCTTAGCTTTTTTTTTTTTTGAGTTGGGGGTCGCACCCCATCGCCCAGGCTGGAGGGCAGTGGCACGTTCATGTCCACCCCAGGATCGACCTGCTGGGCTTCTGCGATCCTCCAGCCTTGGCCTTCTAGTTAGCCAGAACTATAGGAGCGCACCACCACACCAGGCTAATTTTTAATTGATTGTAGAGACGAGGTCTCACCAAGTTGCCCAGGCGGGTCTCGAACCCGCAGACTCAGGCAATCCACTTACCTCGGCCTCCCGAAGTGCTGGGATGACAGGCTGAGCCACCGAGCCCAGCCAGAGCGGAGCTTTTTACCAGTGCCTCTGGACGTTCTTCTGTGCTGCAGGCTGAGGACGCTGCCTGCTCCCCCTCCTCCAGATCCTGTGTGTCTCAGGGGAACTAGGGGGATTCCGCACAAGGCCAGGCCCCCAGGCCTGGGGGACACTAGCTGCTCACTAGTGACCGTGTCAGCAGGAGGCAGGGCCCGGGGAGGGATGGAAGCGGCGTGCTTTCCGGTTTGTCTTTGCGTGTCGTCGTCATAAAGGCCTGCTCTAGAGAAGGCTGCTTAGCTTCCTTTCTACCAAGACCCCACACGTGGGCGTCCTCATGGAACTTTTCTCCATGTGACACTCATTAAATCGCCGCGGGCATGCCCATGGGGAGAGCTGGACCAACGTGCCAAGTCATGGGCTCAGAGTCAAGGCAGGGCCCCGTGCCCCTCGAGGGCGGGCTGTGGACATGGCTCCTGCTCGAGGGGGCAGGCTTTGCTGCCGTGGAGGCAAGACGGCGTGGGAGGGCTGGGAAGGGAGGAGCCCGTCAGCACGCTGGAACACAGGCCGAGCCAACTCACATTTGAGCCCCTCACGTATGCACAAGCAATTAGAAGGACAGAGAGGAGAGGCTTCTTCTTTTTTTTTCTTTCTTTTTTTTTTTTTTTTGAGTGAGGGTGTCCCTCTGTTGCGCAGGCTGGAGTGCTGTGTCACAATCATGTCTCACCACCGCCTTGACCTCCTGGGCTCAGGCAGTCCTCCCACCTCAGCCTCCCGAGTAGCTGGGACTACAGGTGTGGGCCACCACACCCAGCTAATTTTTTAATTTTTTTGTGGAAATGAGATCCCACCTAGCTGCCCAGGCTAGTCGAACTCCTGAACTTAAGCAATCCTTGTGCCCCGGCCTCCCGAGGTGTGGGAATTATGGGTGTGAGCCACTGTGCCCGGCCAAGAGAAGAAACTTTTTTTTTTTTTTTGAGTTGGAGTCTCACTCTGTCACCCAGACTGGAGTGCAGTGGCCGCCCCCGGCCACCGCAGCCTCGACCTGCTGGACTCCAGCGATCCTTCCGCCTCAGCCTTCTGAGTAGCTGGAACTACAGGTGCACGCTACCACACCCGGCTCATTTTGATTGATTGTAGAGATGAGGTCTCGCCAAGTTGCCCAGGTGGGTCTTGAACCCGCGGGATCAGGCAATCCACTCACCTCAGCCTCCCAAAGGCGCGGGATTACAGGCTGAGCCACCGAGCCCGGCTGAGAAGAAACTTTTAAGTGACCAGAATCAGGAGCCAAGAGCTGGAATTACAGGTGTGAGCCACTGTGCCTGGCCAAGAGAAGAAACTTCCAAGTGGCTTTTTGGCTTATCACAGAGACCACACCTAGAGCACATGCCTGTTTTCCATGGCTGACACCTGGCATTGGCCAGCATTAGCCCCTTGTCCCTATCACCGTCTCAGTGGCTTTCCCCACCAATGTCTTCTTCCTGAGACCTGGAGGGCCTCAGCAAAGCCATGCTGAGCCACAGCTGCACGAGGCCCGAGGTCCTGCCTCCGCTCAGCTGTGGGCGTGGCGGACTCTAGGGGGCAGCACGGAGGGCAGAGCGCAGGGCCGTGTCCTTGTGGGATCTGGACAGTGGGGCCGTGACTCAGAGCTCTGTTCCAGGCCTTCCCCAGATACGAGGAGTTCATGAACCGATTGGCACAAGCCATCGACCCTCTGCTGGACGCGGCCCCCGTGGACGTGGCGGCCTTCCAGCACGGCTCCCTGTGGCAGAGGTTCAGGGCGCTCTCCACCCTCAAGCCCCTGCTGAAGGCAGGTGAGTCCAAAGCGCTGGCCTCGGCGTGACAAGCGGCCTTCGAGGAGGTGAGACGGTTTCCCTGACACCTGGACACCTGGTCAGGAGCCTGAACCTCCCTGGTCCCTACGATGGGGTCAGTGAACAGGCTGTGAGCACTGAGGGCACTGGGGGGCACTTTATGGAGAAGGCCTTGGCCTGTGTGCCCAAGACAAGGCTCCAGGAGGAGAGAAGGTGGACAGAGGCGTGTCTGCACCCAGTAACCGTGGATGATGGCGGGGGGGGTTGTCCAGAGCCGGCCGTCTGAGACAACTTTGAGGAGCATTCTCTGGAGATGGCCATTGACCAAGGGTTGCCCCCTGGGGCATTGACTCCTGCCCTTCTAGGCTGTGGCTCTATGGGAGCTGGGTGGGTTCCCGTGGGCGTCCTGTCTTGAGGCCAGAGGAGCCCCTGGGAAGAAATGAAGGGTGCCTCTTCCAGGACCGGGGTGAGAAGCTGTGGGCTGCGCCGTGTGGAGCTACCTAAAGCGGAGGGGGCTTGTCATCATGGCCGTGGCCAGAATCAGGAGCCAAAGAGCACTTAAAGAGCTGCCTGCACCATGCAAGAATGGTCTGGGCTCAGTAAACAACAGTTCTGTGACCGATGAGTAATGGCTGCCATGGGTATGAGATGGAAGGTACACCAAGCATGCTAGGAGTTTCTACCTCTCCTCTAGGGTGTACAGACGACTTCAGCTTCCATATCTTAGAAAAATACCAAATCAGTTAGCTGGGGCAAACACACACACACGCACAACTCCAGCGGCTTATAAAAATGAGGCAGAAGGATCGCTGGAGCCCAGCAGCAGGCGAGGCTGCGGTGGCCGGGAGCGGCCACTGCACTCCAGTCTGGGTGATCGAGTGAGACTCCAACTCAAAAAGAACAAAAAACAAGCAAAATGAATGTGTATTTCCCACGTTCCCACATATTTCCTGGCTCGGCTGGTCTGGCCTGGTCTTGGGCACATGTTTGGGTCTGGCTGCTCTGCCCAGGTGCCCGTCATCCCCCTCTGGGAGGCAGCACACTAGTCTGGGCACCGGCATGTCACATCAAAGTGTGAGCAGAGGCAGCCCCGGACATGCAGGCCTGGTTCAACGTCACATCTGCAAGCCCCGAGCAAGCTCGTGGGGGACCCCGAGCCAAGGCGCCAGGCAGGTCAGCGCAGCTGCAGGGGTGTGGACTTACAGGACGGAGCATGCCAACCGGGGGAGCCTCTCACCTAGGCCGGGCTGTAGATATCGCCTCTCGGATTAGCCAGGGAATTCTGTGCAGAAAGCAAGTAGGAGCATTTCTTGAGCAGCTACTGTGTGCCAGACACCAGGCAGACTCAGGGCAATAAAGTAGTCGATCCTGACAGCCACCCGCAAGGCCACCATGCTGTCGCTCTCTGAGGCAGTCTGCATGGAGTCAGAGGAGTGGGCTGCATGCCGGGGGTGGCCGTGCAGCGTCCAGAGCTAGGGAGTAGGTCAGGTGCACGTCAAACACTTTCCAGAAGGAACCCAGCAGCTAAAATGCACTGAGCACCTGCGAACTTGAAAAGGCTTACACGTCCGTCTCATTTAACCCTCCCAGTAGCCCTTGGGGTATAAGATGCGAAAATATGAAACAGGCTCAGAGACCGTAAAAACTTGCCCAAGGCCCTGCAGCTGGTGAGAGGTGTGGCCGGCTCCATGGCCAGCTCCGTGGCCTGCATGACTGTGGCTCTCACAGGAGGGCTCAGCCACCCACTGCTTTACGCCCGAGGGTCCGGTCGGCTCCATGTCAGATTCAGTCTGCTCTGTGATCCTCCCCTTAGGTCGCATCCTGGGAGCCCGGCTGCCCCAGTACTATGAGGTCCTCACGGCTCCCATTACCAAGGTGAGGGACCCCTACCTCGGGCACTGGGGGGTCCTCACCGGGGAGTGGGGGTCTTTGCCAGGGAGTGAGGGTCTCACTGGGAAGTGGAGGTTCTCTCTGGGGAGTGGGGAGGTCTCGCTGGGGAATGGGGGTGTCCTCACCAGGCTGTGGGGGACCTCCCTCCCACCAAGGCCCCCAGCCCTCCCCTCTGCTGTCGGGCTGTCCAGGTGCTGGATCAGTGGTTTGAGTCAGAGCCTCTAAAAGCCACTCTAGCCACAGACGCCGTGATTGGAGCCATGACGAGCCCCCGCACCCCGGGGAGTGGGTGAGTGGGGGAGTCGGGTGGCAGGGACTGAGCCGGCTCCCATCCAAGGCAGGACCACGGGGCAGTGACCGCCGCTTCCTGAGCTCGCACTGGGAGCCGGGCACAGGCAAAATCCACCAAACCCTCGAGGCCACACCTGAGAACTGGGGTGCAGCCCAGTGTCACACAGTCGACCCCCCCAAATCTCCCTTCTTAGCGACCATGGCTTCACTAAGAAAAACCCCTCCCGTGCCCGTGACAACCTTTCAACATCAGTATCTTCTCCCCTTCCCCCAGCCCTCTCCCACAAAGGCCCGCTGTCCCTCCTCTCCCCCGGGTCCTGCCCTGGGCCCAGGACACACAGATCCCTCCGTGTGGACAGGCAGCCATCCCTCTCTGTGGTGGGTGTGTGCTGACAGCTGGATCCGAGAGGTGGCAGCCAGACAGCGCAGTCTGCCGGGTGGCGTGACTGCATGGGACCTCGTGGAAGCAGGAGCAGGGTGTGTGTGTGTGTGTGTGTGTGTGTGTGTGTGTGTGTGTGTGTGTGTGTGTGCGCGCGCGCGCGCGCGCTCTGGGATGGGGGTGCCGCCAGGGTTGGGCCATTCCCAGTGGACCAGGAGATGCCGCTCATAGCTGTGGACGCGGCTTGTCTCCCAAGGGATGAACATGGTCCTCAGCATACCTGCTGCTGCCCCAGATTTCCCGGGGCCGTGAGAAGGGGGCTGGCCTCAGCTGCCACACCCCAGCCCAGCCCTGTGACCAGGCAGCCACTCTGGGCCTCCAGCCGGGGCCTCCCGTCCTCATCTCTCCGGGCCTCTGCGTGGGAAACGCGCCGTCGGGCCATTTGTTCCCTCATTTATTCTTTCACCGAACACGGATGGAGCCCTCAGCTCTGCTGGGTGCTGGGGGTCCAGCCGTGAACGGAGCAGACGTCCCGATGGAGAGACCAGGCGCGAGGATGAGCGTCATGATGGGAAACCACCGGGTCTAGGGCAGGGCAGGCATCCCCGGGGCAGAGCTGGCCTCCACATGGCGGGGCAGGGGCGTTGGGTCTGAGCCCGGAGGCTTAAAAGGCGAGGGAGGGTGGGCGCAGGGCTGGCTGAGCTGCAGATGCCAAGGCCGGGGTGGAGGGCTGCCATCTGCCCGGGGAGCTGAGAGGTCCGTTTGGGAGAAGACGGTGTGCAGAGGCAGGATGAGGGGCGGGAGGAGCCCCGTGGTCACGTCAGGAGCCTGGCCGCCACCCCAGGAGCAACGCGCAGCCGGTGAGCACCGGAGGGAGAGAAACCCAAGGCCGGGGCCAGTTTGGGATGGGCTCCGGGGTCTTCAGGCCAGAGATCTGCAGGGGAGGAAGGGGGAGTCCAAGGAGGGGCACTCCCGCGGCATAAGGAAGCGATGCAGGGGGGTGGAGGAAGCCGGGGTGGGTGGTGCTGTTGGATGTGCTGGAGGATGCCAAGGTCCAGGCTGAGACCCAGGGGTCTGCTGGAAGCTGACGGGCGTTCACGAGGCTGGAGCAGGCTGTGAGAAGCAGGCTGGGGACGGAGAGAATGGGCGGGTTCAAGACGCCTACAGAAAAGCATCCCAATGGGGATGTCCGTGGGGCCTGGGCACGCGGGCCAGAGCTCAGGGGGCCGCTGGAGCTGCCGGCTTGGGCGTCATGGCCATTCCGTGGGGGAACAAAGCTCGGGACCAACCCACGCTCCTGGGCAAAGGAGGCAGAGTGAGGAAGCAGCAGGCTTGTCCAGAGCTGGAGCTCACAAAGCTGATGGCAGAGGGCTGGCAGGGCGCAGGGAGGCGAGGGCAAGGTGGAGGAAGATTTGCACCCAGAACCCTGGAGAGATGGGTCTCGCCTCCAGCCCTGACCCGATGGTCTGTCCTCAGGTACGTGCTGCTGCATCACGTGATGGGGGGACTGGAGGGGACGCAGGGGGCCTGGGGCTTCGTCCAAGGGGGCATGGGTGCCCTCTCCGATGCCATCGCCAGCTCAGCCACCTCGCACGGAGCCAGCATCTTCACGGAAAAGGTGACCAGCCCCTCATCCCGCCCCGATTATTGGCAGGGAGCCCCGGGCAGAGCAGAGCCTTGGATCTGGACGGTCCCTTGTTTGACCGAGGCGCCAGGAGGGGCTCAGAATCAGGGGATGCAAGGGACACAGCCTGCCTGTGGCTGAGCCCTCATCAACGAGCTCCCAGCCCCTCTGCGCACCCTCTTTGGGCCCGCTGGTCACTGGACCACGTTTGGGCTGGGCCCCAGGTTGGAGAGGCAGGTTAAGACTCCATGGAGGGTGGGCTTGGGGAGAGGAAGCTGCAGGCGGCCAGGGCCAGCACGGACTCACAAAAGATCCACAGGATCCAACCTGGACTTCCCTTCCCGGGGCTCCGGGGCCGCTTTCTGCCGGGTTCTAGACGGTGGCGAAGGTGCAGGTGAGCAGCGAGGGCCGAGCGCAAGGCGTCGTGCTGCAGGACGGCACGGAGGTGAGGAGCCGAGTGGTGCTGTCCAGCGCGTCGCCACAGGCCACCTTCCTGAAGCTGACGCCGCAGGTGAGGCCAGGCCGGGAGGGCAAAGGGTGGAGGGTGGATGTCTGCCAGGACCAGGGTTGGACACAGAAGCTGGCAAGAGCCAGGGCTGCATCACAGGGCGAGTCACGATGCGTCTGGGGGGCAGGAGGGTCCCGGGCAGGTGGCAGGCAGGGAAGAAGCCCCCAAGCGAGGAGGTAGGGCTGGGGACATGACCCAGCCATGCGGCTAGCCGTGGGCAGAGCCAGAGCCAGAACCCGGGTCTGCCCAGAGTTCCCCCCACCATATGCCCACGTCTGTGACCTGCTGTCATGTAGGTGATGATTCATTAATCAATGCACAAACAGCCGCACTACTTCTGAGAGCATACCGAGAAATCCCAGCACCCAGATCTGGGAAATTCAGTCGATCTTGGCGGGACTCAGCCCGCCGGTGTATGCTAGGGCATCTGTGGTTGGCTGTGGTCAGTGGGGCGGCTGTGCTGCTCTTGACTGGACTCCTTGAGGGGCCTGGGGTTGGCCGGCTGGCTGGCCCTGGGTGGCTTCTGCTGGTTTGATGGGCTCCCCAGCTGTGCTCCATGTGGCCTTCCTCTCCCAGCTCCGTGGTCCCGGCATGCTCTTGGGGGCTGTCAGAGGGACCAGCAGGCACTGTCCTGTAAGCGTCATGTGGCTGGGTCTTTGCACCATATGTGCTAGACAAAGCAAGTCCAGTGGCTGAGTCCAGAGTCGGAGCGGGAGGGCGTGACAGAGCTTCAAAGAAGGGGCGTGCATACAGGCAGGTGCGAGCGTTGAGGGCCATTGTTGCAACTGACCACAACTTCCCTGTCCCCCAAAACCATGACAGCATGGATAGGAGCGTGGCACTCCAGCCATTCTTGGGGCTGTTCTTATATGGGAGAGCACTGCTTTCCCTGAGTGATTCCGCTGATAAAATTCAGCAAACATCCGTGCAAAGCGTCTCACTAGGGCAGTTCTGCAATCATCAAGACTTCCAAGAGCTCCCAGAGCAGAGGCGAAAAGAGGCCTGTGAGCCACTGGGCCTGTCATCAGCCGGGGAGGTGCGGGCTTTTTACCACCAGGGCTGTTGGTCTCAGAGGAAGAAGCAGGTGGTACTGACTGGGAGAGGATCCAGGAAGGCCTCACAGAGGAGGCGGTCCTGGCTGAGCTCTGCCGGGTGCAGTGCATTTCCAGAGGTGGAGGCTGAGGGACCTGCCTGAGCAAAGGCAGCGGCCTCCCGGGGGCTGCGGGCATCTCAGGCCTTCATGGAACCTTCTCCTTCTAGGAGTGGCTTCCCAAGGCGTTCGTGGAGAGGGTCTCTCAGCTGGACACCCAGTCTCCGGTCACCAAGATCAACGGTAAGAAGCTCCCCAGATTGCAGGGCTGACCCTTTGGACGTGATCGGAGTGAGAAACCTCCAAGGCCGGGGACACCGGCCCAAGTCATCGTCTCTGGTCCCCAACCGCCCCCGGTGTGAAGGTGAAACCCTTACTCACGGCTCCCTACTCCCGGTCACCACGGGGGGCGGGGTGATGGCTGGAGGGAGGGGGGACCTGACCCTCCCCTGCGGTCCTGCAGTGGCTTTAGACAGGCTGCCTGACTTCCTGGCGGCCCCCAACGCCCCTGGGGGCCAGCCGCTGCCCCACCACCAGTGCTCCATCCACCTGAACTGCGAAGACACGCTCCTGCTCCATCAGGCCTTCCAGGATGCCATGGACGGCCGGCCTTCCCGCAGGTGGGGCCCGGGGCTCTGCATCCCCCCACGTTCCTACACCCGGGCGTGGGCGGCAGGTGGCCTCCCGCGTCCACACGCCGCAGGGCCCGGCCTTTTCGGCCTGGCAACACACCTCGTGTGACCCAGGATCCACCTAAATCCCTGCTCAAGTTCTGAGGACAGGAAGGGCATCCAGGATAGAGGCCCGTGGGCCAGGGCAGGGCAGGGTGAGGCGTGGGCGCATGGGAGTCGCACCGGGGGGCCCGGGGCCGAGCGGGCTTCCTGGAGAGATGGGGGCTCTGATTCCCAGCCCAGAGTGGGTTCCGTGTCCTCGCCCCCTCCCTTCTTTCTTCCTTCCTCTTTTTCTTTCTTGTTCTTTTTCGTTTTTCTTTTCTTTTTTTTTTTTTTTTGTGTTGGAGTCTCACTCGGTCACCCAGACTGGAGTGCAGTGGCCACTCCCGGCCACCCCAGC